CCCCAAGGTTTGTTTTTACTTCATATGAGACAAAAGGTCCCCTCAAAAGAGAAAGTTTTTAGGGCTATTCATGTATGATGTAGAATCAGCTTGGGAAAAACTGGACCGAGCTGAGAATGACCGTCAAGTAGCAATTATTGCCGAGTTGCAGAGGTTAATATCGTTCCCATTAATTTCTCCACACTAATAGATCTCCTTACATAAGTTCGCTTTCTTTGCAGGCAAGAACGCCTAGAGCAACTTGCGCAGCGTTTCCACAAGAAAGCTAATCTACGAGAGGTTTGTGTCAGTTTACCTTCACATCACTATTACGATCAGCCGGAAATGTTCTAGAGCTGGCTGAGAAACGTGCAAGCGGTGCTTGAAGAGATGGACCACGGCAGAACAGCTACGGAGGTGGAAAAATCACTGAAGAAGCAGCAGGCTATAGCAAACGACATCCTAGCAAGAGTTAGTTGATTAGCACTTAAGCACTAATAAAGTTCGGAGGGGCGGGGGGTGGTCTTTGAAGACTGAAGGCTGGAAAAGTAGGACTGAAGGCTGGAAAAGCAGAACTGAAGTCATCCAAGTAGAAATGCTGTCCATGAACACTGGAGAACCTCCCTCTTTTAGCTTTGCGGAATGTCCTCATTTCCAGTTCAAGGGCTCAGTTCTGCATGAGTAATCTAAATGGGAAATGTCTTATCCTCATTCCTAATTTTGCGCATGGAGTCTTCCAATTGCTTCCCCCCGCCTCCTTTATTCAAGGTGATTAGCGCTGCATTTTCAAGTTATATCCTTCATATCCTTCAAATATTTTCAAATTGGTGTAGGAGGACCGCTTCAAATTACTTACATCGATGTGTGCTGATCTATGCAACGAGCGGTATCACGAGAGCGATAAGATCCGTGCCCGTGAGAGGGACATAATAGAAAGGTAAGTGCTTGAAAATAAATGTCTAAACAAATATCTTCCGCAGCATATACGAAGGTGCATGTACAAGGAAAAAACTGAGAATGATTTCCGAAAAACCGTGCTCTGAGAATTCCAAGTAGAGGCACAATTTATGGGTGGGCGGGATTGGAACGGCGTCACTGGTGCGCCCCTTTTCTCCCTGCTTTCTGCGCCAGTGAGGAGCCTGCGAGCTTCACTATCTTCGTCAATACTCCATATACCGCAGCTGGGTAGGGCGTGCCGGTCAGCTCAAATGGAATT